CCAATTTTCTATTTCCATTTCAGGTTGGATACTAGGAAAAAGTTCTTCTCAGAAAAAATGGTGAGGCACTGGAACAGGCTGCTCAGGAAGGTGGTAAAGTCACCATTCCTGGAGACGTTCAAGAAAAGAGTGTATGTCACATTGAAGGACATCATCTAAGGTGGTCACAGTCATGGGTTGATGCTTGGAATAGATGATCTTGGTGGTCTTTCCAAATTTGATGATTCTATTCCATGATTAATTTCAGCAGGATTTCAATCCAGACCTTCACTCACTCAAGGCAGTGTCAAGCCAAACAAAACCTCTTCACCTGCTCTGGTGTTGATGTGGCACAGAAAAATATTTTTTATGCTCAGCACAAAATGTTTTTGCTAAAGAATCATTGGAATAAGGTGAAACAATGAATGAAGGAGAAGGAAGAAATCTATAAATGTAGTTTATTTTGTGAGACAAAATTCCGCAGCTACCACAAGCATCTCATTTATTTCAGCTGACACCTCCAGGTACACAGTTGCATATGTAATACTTGTGCATATTTTTCCCCCAGGACACAGTTTTGTTTGCACTCCCAGTGCTGTGAATTTATACCAACTGGAAGATTGCTTGGCTTATTGCATGTAATAGGAACTGTATTTTCACAGATGGCTTACCTTCCTTGCCAGATGTCGGTTTTTAACAGTGTCCTAATAACTTCTGCATGTGCTAACTTTATTCCACATACCAAAAATTATTGCCTTGAAGGGACAAGATTTTTATTTTTTAGGTTACTTTTGTAGTGACTGAAACAACTTCTGAAAGTCTGAACTGGATGCTCCACTATTTTCAGTCTGAAAATCAGCTGCGACTGTCTCTCTAAAAAATGAATGTTCCTCATGCCAGGCAGGACTTGAATTACTTGATTAAAATCCTGTTTGTGACAGACAGTAGATCATTTTGTAGTTGTATCCCTCCATCTAGTTTTAGGAATCTATGATTCACCTTCTGAACAAGCTTAATGGAACCACCACAATTATCAAACAAACCCCTAACTTCTTTCTTCAAAGGGTCATAATCTGGAAAATCAAAAGAAACAGACAATGCCTGGGGGTAGAAGAGAGAGCAGATAAACAGCACAGATGGGCTTCAACGATATTGTTGAGCAGCACTGCCAAATCTAAACATTTCAAAACTATGAATCAGGCACCAGAAAAGTCTTTAAATGTACTTAAAATTCATGAGATGTGAAAAATAGCTTATTTCATTAATGACTGCATTATTGTGTCGTCACATTCACTGCCCAACTGCCTGTCGGTTGTCCTCCTCCAGACATTTCTGCTTCATTGGTTAATTTCAACTATTTCTGAAAGAATAGCTGAGGACTGGAAGGTGTGGAGACCTTATAAGACCTGTGGGTGGCTGGTCTGGCAGTTACAGAATTACAGAACCATAGGGGTCAGAAGCGACCTCTGGAGATCATGTAGTCCAATGCCTGCTAAAGCAATTTCCCTCGAGTAGATGAACCCACAATGAAGTCTGCACTGGGAGGGAGAGAGAAGCAGCTGGGACCTGGTTGGCGCAGGTCACTCCACTGTCAGCCACGGAGCTCTGTTTGTTCTGTGTGTAAGAAACCAGGTCAGTGAGTAAGACACCAGGTCAGCTGCAGACACTGTATGTGGCTGGACACACATGGAAGTCATTCAGTGGCTGGAGGGAAGAAAGCAGGGGAGTGCAGCCAGACGCCATAGCGTATAAGCAGGCTGTGGGTATTGCAGTGGTGAACATGGCACTATTCAAGAGCTGAAGCCCTGCGGCCCCAAATGATCTGTCTGTATTTTGATCCCAGTCACCCACTAGAAGGATATTAAGCAGCAGTTAGGCTAAGACTCCTAAGTCCTCTTTCCCAAAATGGTCTGAAGGGCTCAGCACCCCTACATCCTTTCCCCTTTGCTCCACACTCCCTTGTAATTTACTAACTCATTCGCTACCCATTCACACAATTGTGCCATAACTTGTTTCAATCCAGGTAAAATAAATCAGTGAAAGCCTAACACTGAATTCAGGTAGTGTGGGGTAGAGATGCTGGCTGGAAGGCAAATGGAACCTCCAACAGTGCGGGTGCAGCTGGGGCAAGGCCTGCACTCTCAAGGGAGGTCTCTTCCTCCTCAGTGCCTCTCACAGCAGCAGTGGCAACACTGATGGTGAAATGCCCAGACTGTGAACAAATCCAGATTTGTCAGCCTGGTGCCTTTCTAACATGGCTTACGGTGTGATATTGCTTACTTTTTCAGACAGAATCTGAGATTCTTTTTTTTCTAGAATGTTTGAAAGAACATTCTGAAAAGAAACAGAAAAGGCCATAATTGGAGCATAGCAGTCTTGAGGGTTTCTCTGTAAGCTGTAGTATTTGAGATTTTTCTCTATAAAAGAGATTACGCCCAGCTCTCATAGCAAAAGAGCTGTTCTGCACTGCTCTGTTTTTATCACTTGTGAGTAGACCAGCCTCAGGAATCTTACTTTGACACAGACCCTCTGTCGCATGGCTACAGTCCTGTGCAGACAGTAGTACTAAGCCCAGTCTGTCATATCTCAGCTGCCTTCTCCACTCCTATGCTAGGTTCATCATAGCCCCGGTAGCCCTGGAGGAACTGATTTTAGAGCAATTCTGTCACATAGGTAAAGGCCTGTATATTCAGCTCCATTTTAGAAGTACATTAATCCAGGATAACCCACGTGGTAGAGGAGAGAGGTGTTGAATTAGTATTGTTGTCAATAGGCAAAAAGACAAGGTTGTCTCAGACTTTGAATGTTTCTTGTTGTTTGCTCAAAAGCAGTCAAAAGTTGTTCATTGAGTTTTGCAAAGTGACTGCACGGGATCAGCTGGACACTTGTCCCGATTTATGCACCACCATCACCAGACTGAGCAAGCTTCAGCACATGCTCTCGAAATGAAGGCTTTCCTTTGCTGAGGTCTATCAGATGATTTAGTAGAAGCTGCATTTCTATGATGAAAACAAATAGACTTTAAACAGATCAGTTGGTATTTATGGATAACAAGGGCCCCCCAACTGTGAGGCAAGGTAAATGTATATGTCTAACATGTAAAAGTATATGTCTAGTAGTTCCACAAATATTTAGAAGTAAAAGAATGGATTGTGATAAAGTGTTTTAGAAAAAGAAAATATGGACCAGGAGGTTGGCCTTTATTAGAAATTAAGTTGACCTTGTCTGTCCCACAGGCTTTACAAAAACATTAATATGCATACTATCACCATATCCTGTTGTCTATGTACTCTCCCCTGTTAGAAACAGCTACTTTTCCTTACAGTGATTCTTGTTATGAAAGAATGATGATTTTTCAGCAGTTTCAGCTTGTCGTCTGGGGCTGGCAGTTTAATCAGAAAGGTGATGTTTCTCCAGAGCCAATGGGCCGTGTTGGGACACATGGCAGGATTTCTCAGGCTGTTGGAAGCCCAGCTCTTTCTCAAAAGCTTAGCTACTCAAAAGTAGCAGAGATATGCATACAGGTGTGTTAATGCTGGATCAAAAGGAGGGAAAAGTCTTATGGAATCTTTGTAGAAATCAAAGGAAATGATCATTTAGAGAGAGAAATCCTGCTTTGTCAGGAGAGATAAGGAAGAAGCAAGCCCAGCAAACACAGCTCATCCTAAGGAAAGACTCACAGGACTGGCTGTCTAGTCGAAAATCAGATTCAGAATGAATTACGGGCCGTAAAGAAAACTGAAGAAAGGTAAGCACGAATATGTCACATACAGGTAACACCCAGGTTGTTCCCTGCTGCCCCCTACTGGAGCTGGATACAGCCCGTGAGCCAAACCACGGGAGAAACCCACAAATACTCCAGAAATAATGAGGGTAGCAGTCCGATTGCACTGGCAAGGGATGGACAGCCAGCAAGTGAGATCTGTGTAATCTTGGACCCCACTGAACTTGAGAAGGTTTTGCCATCAGCTTCATTAGTGGCGGGATTATTCCCAAGAACTTTCTACTTCTATATCCTTAATACCTTAGTCAGCACTCTGCTCAAAGCCACGCAGGACTGTTATGAGACAAGTGCTGTGAGTGATGAAATGGTGAAATAAGCATAAGTCTTCTTGGCTCTCCTTCATAATACACATTCAACTTCAACTTAAAAAAATTCCATTGAGAGCCTCTCGGCATGGCTGTTGAAGCACCTTGCCCAGCCATCCATCTCCCAGCTGTGCTGTCTGCCACTTGGACCTGGCTGCCAAATGTAAGCACTTGGGTGATTCAAGCCAGGTGATCAGCATAAAGACTCTCTTAATTGGTATTATGGGATCAGCACTTTCTTGGTGCATATAAGCCTTATTTGATTCGTATCAGGGCTGCATATTTGCAAATTCTTGGTCATTATTTAATAGGTAAGTTGTATATTTGTTACTACATAAATAGCTTGGAAGTTAAGAGACTAACAAAAGAGTGACAGAGCCAGGAATAAAATTTAAAGGTGCTTGCTTACAACTATGAATTTATCCTCCAGCACACATTTCTTTTATTGTGTTACAGAGCTCATTGTTTCTGCTTCTAATGTGGTACACTTACCCCCTTATTTGCAGTGTTCTTAATCCCCTAGGATCCTTTCTTATTTTTAGATTATTCAATGTCTGAAAAGTTTTAGCCTGTATTTTGTCAGTGGTTGTGCGTTAGTGCTTATTGCAAAGCTAAAATCATAAGCAAAAGGCAAACTGCCTCTAATACATGAATTCCTTCAGATGATTTTTGGTAAGCGTTTTGCTTGGTTGGGGGTCTGAAGAGAACAAAGAATTCTATTGAAACCAACAAAACCAGTATGACCTTGTTCTGCTCTACAATGTGAAATTTTTCTCTGTGTGTTTTGCAGTGCTTGCTTAAAAATCTTTGTCCTCTTTAAAGAAGTAAAATAATGAACAGATTATATTGCTCCATTTCAAAGAAGAAAACAACAAAGAAAAGCCAACTGGATAATCAGAAAATATAAATAAAGACAATTTCTACTGACAGTGTTCTGACCAAATATTTATTTCCTAACTCATACAAAATTGATGCTTGTGGAGGTACCGGGCTGGAAAACAAATGACTCTAGTTATCCACAGAAAACATACAGTGCCAGTGGAGCAATGAAGCCTGCTTTGACATGAATGAGAAATATTACAGGTAATTTACAAAATGAGATCCATTGTCATATAGAAAATGACGTTTTGGAGAAACAGTGTCATGAAGGAGGCTGATATTTGTCTGCTGAGGCAGCAAGGAATCCCCATTCACCCAGTCAGGCAGTGGATGGAGAGGCTTCCCTCTACCTCAGCAGGAATTGCACCCGTGTGCTTGCAGGACAGTCAGCTCTCCCCACAGGGCTCCTACACCTTCCAGTCTTCACAAGTTCGTAGCACATTTGCTGTGCTGTGGAGTTTGGCTGGATATGGACCAGAGAACTACATGTAAAAAACTGAAAACAGAAAGACGCTCTGTTCTACTAGGAATTTATTCAGTGATCAGATGGAAAATGTGGCTGCAGTGGAAAAAAGAGTCAGATACCAGAAAGATGAGAAAGTCAGTCCTGGATAAAAGTAGTTCTAATACTTAACATAAAGTAAAACGCTGTTAAAGGTTTGTATACGAGTCATGCCAACTTCCATGTAGATGAGAACTGTAATGAAACGGTGTCTAAGTCATTATAAATTTTGCTATTTACACAAAAGAGGAAAAAGAAATTTTCCTATTTCATTTTTCATGTTACCCACCATACCTTGCGTACTCATTAAAATGTAGGGTTTCAACTACCCATAGAAAAAATACAAACGTGCAGAGAAATGACTACTAGAAAGAAAAGAGCAACCAAGACCTATAATTAGATTTGCAATAATTGAGTCCTGTTCTAAGGAGTTAGATCATGTTCTTTTTCTTTCCTACATAAAAGTTGCACTCATAACAACAGAACAAGAACACAGTTGCTTCAAAACACTGGGCACAGAGTTCCAGAAACAAGATAGCAACTACTCAGAAATGCTGTGGAAAACATTACTCACGTAACAACTTGCTATTTACATTGAAGAGCGTAGCTTTTAAGATTAATTAAAAACTAAAGGGAAAAAATAATAAAAATTAAAAAAAAAAAATTTAGTCAAAAGACAATTTGGCCTATAAGGAGGAATCTCTGTTATCTCTGTTCTTTGCTTTTTGTCTAGCAGATCTTTTGAGATATATACCCATGTATACACAGATGTAAGTCTGGGGCAGATTTATCAAAAGCTAAAACGTGTCTGGGTGATGAGCTAGCAAATCTCATCTCAGAGATTACTTTTGCAGCAGACAGCCCCCCCGCAGCAGAAATGCTGGACCGATACATGTGAATGAAATGACTCTCTCTGCCCACGACGTACACAGGATCCACACACACATGTCAGTCTGTCCAAGCAGACAGCACAGTGCTGGGCACAGAGCAGGGCTGCGGGATGCCACCACCCATTGTGTGGACGATGGGCAGGCTCCATCTCACTTTGCAGGTGGTGGATGCTCTCTGCTGGAGCTGAGATAAGCAGCAGCTCCAGGGACGCTCCGCAGGATGAGGAACCATCGGCTCGTTGGGACCCAGTTTGTGAGCAGCCCTACGCACCCAGTAGCAGCAGTCATGCTCCTTCAGTGGGACAACTGGGCCGGGCCACCACAGCACTCCTTCTTATAGCAAGATGCTGTTCAGCAGCAGGCCCTGATTCTGATTTCGAAGCAGGAAGATCCAGGCAGAGGATGTGGACCTCACCAGAGGAAGGACGGTCTGTTCTCCAACTGTCCAGGCTTCATCCTAACTTGCCAAAAACCAGTGCAAATTTCTAACAGTTCACAGGAAAAAGAATGTCCATATTGACAGGGTATAAATCCTTCCTTACGTACGAGAATGGCACATACCCGGCATCTCTATCAAATATCGTAGAAAAGGTTACACAAAAATAGTTAAATATATGGATACAGATACATAGATATTACACTTGCATAAAATATGTAGATTCAAAACCCTTTGGGCAGTTTCACAGTTAGCTGAAAATGTATGCTTTAGAAATATGAACAATTTCCTACACTTCTAGTTTAAGTAGGAGGGGAAAGGGAAGAAGCATCAGCCTTATTAATACTGAATGCTAAGTGCAGGAATTTAGCTGTAGCTGTAGGGCTTTGAAGCAATTGATTTGACAGAACCTCCAAGCATAAACTCTGTTTTAAAAATCCACATTTATTCCCTAGATCGCTTATTGTTTCATGAAAATGAAAACCTACGTGCCCTGCTTGTATCAACTAGATCTCCTGAGACCGCTCAATGAAACCTTGTAAGCTCACAATACTTCAAGGTAGGGTCATGCACTGGGAGTACACATGAGCCTTATTGCAGCATTTCTGTGTGATAACAGGAATTCATAACTTCTCACATCCTGTAGAATTTAACTTTAGAAATGCAAAACCTTGAATGACACCACAAGAAGCTCACAGTTCTGAAAAAATTAAAGTCAGTATGAAATTTTACTTATAGACCACATAATTTACACAGATTTACATAAATACAGAGATATTAAAATATTAAATCAAACCTAATTAACAGAGGATAGAGGTTTACATGATAACATTTTAATTCATTACATTTCTGCCACTATTCTTAGTGTCATGAGATTATATAAATAATATATATATCTATATATCCATAATATGTATAAAGATATATATATTTCCATCCTTTTTTTTTTTTCCTCAAAAATAGGGCAATTTTATAACTGCAATGAGATGTGACAAGCAGTACACTTCTGGGGAATTATTGCATGCCTTGAGTGCATAAGGCAGAAGGAAAAGTGTCTGACTAGAGACGCTAAAGAAGTGAAACCATCAACCAGAAATGCACTGGAGTGATTTGGAACATCTTATTGCTTTTATAAAACTCAAAATTATATACTGATTTTTAAGAAAAGGCACAAAATAAAGGGGAAAATAATATCTCTATTTAGTGGAGATCACAATCAAGAAGCTCCGTTACTGTTCACTGAACACTTCTCACTGTCCTAAATCTATTCCCTATGGTGCAATACTGTGTTGCGGTTGCATAAGGAGGTTAAACACAAAAGTTCATGCATCCTTTATTAGGGGAAACAAAACAAAGCCCATTTCCTTGCCCAAGAACACAGCAGTAGCCGTTAGTATCTGGTCACACCAGGAAGCATCGGCCATCACTCCCACCTCACCACACCACACCACCAACACCGTGTTCATTTCTGCACCAACCTCAGCTGGTAGAACAGCTCCTGGAGCTGGATGCTGGAGGCACGCATTGAAACCCAACAGGAATTTCCCACCAGGCAAGATCACAAAGGGGTAAGACAGGGTTAAGAGAAGCACTGCCTTGAAACCCCTGCATATTGGTGCTGTCCATGGACTATGGAGTGCTGTGGCACCCTTTCCTCTTTTCACCTTTGTGCTGTCAGCACAAGGGCTCTCCAACCCAGCAGCCACACCAGGGGGCAGAGAACAGCAGAATGTTACAACCTGTGGGCTACAGCTACCTCATCACATCAATCATCACTCTGAATGCCAGGATACGGGGGGGAAAAAAAAATTAGAAAATCCCTCGGGATTACTTTTCCTTTGCTATATTCTTTAGATGTTAACATGCACAGCAGAGATCTGCCTCTGCTATGATACCACACAAGATGTTTCAAAGTTCGGATACGGCACTCTGTTAAGGCACCTTCAAGGAATGGGCTTTGATTTAATCGCTAAGCAAAGCTGCACCAGACGCTGCCCCACGCTCCTCCAGCACACACAGCACCAGCAGCACCGCACCTGCCCACCACTGACAAAAGCCACTGCTGTTTGCTAGGGAGAAACCGTACTTCCAAAATAAATACCTGCTGAGCATTAAGAGCTGATATTTTGCACAACTGTCTGGTTAGTTCCTCAAAAGAGGAGAGGCAAGAAATTTGAAGTGTTGTTTGTCCTTAACTGCTTGCTAGATTATAAGGGGTAAAAATATGTATCAGCCTAAAAAAGTAGAAGCTAGCCCTGTTCTGCTGCAGGATTCCTTGCTGGGAGGTGAAGCTTTAACTGCAGCGGGGTTGGAGCAGGATGCCTGGTGCAGAACAGGGTTTGTTTTGGGACCCCCAGAGGAACAAGGCCATCTTTCCCCTGAGGTGTATCACCTCATGCCACCACGCAGAATGGCAGTGGTTTTGGGGGTTGTGTCATGGGGAGGGCATTTAGAGATGATGGATGCTGGGGGGGAGAGGAAAGCTGCAGCTGGAGTATGGGGCCGCAGGGCACTGCAGTTCACCTAAACCCAGTTGGGGGTGGGTGTTACACAAAACAAGATCCAGTCCTGGAGAGAAGCAAGAAGGGTGGGCCAGGGGCACAGATCCAAGCACAATAGAGAGCTGCTCCAAGAAGACAGGGGGGGTCCCAAGGCACCCACCAGTCCTGCCACTCCCCCCATTCCGCACCCCAGCCACGCCATGCAGTGTGACAACGGGGGCAGGGGGGGATCCAGTAGTGGGATCACCCCAGCCTTGGAGGTAACAATGACTAGGGAAAAGGGATCCCTGCCCCTGACTCTCTCCTCCAGGCTAGGTATATGGTCGCTGCGTGCAGGTCCTTCTCCAGCACAAAGACGCATCCTTTGCTTGCACAGTCAATGAGAAACGCGATGTGAGCTGTCATGCGCTTGGATCATGGGCTTGTTCGTTCATTAGAATTAGCAATGTTTTCTTCTTCTTTGAGGACTAGAATAATCACTCCGGTATTTACAAAGGTGCCTTCTCCCGGGTTCCCCTAAACCATCATGACAAAATCACCGTCTGCAAGAGCCCCACGCCAGCTGTGTCCAAAGCTGCCTGTGCCGGCTGGGAGCTGGGGGCTGCCATGGGGGGGGGCCGCTGGATCTCCGAGTCCCGGAGGGGTCTTCCCAGGCGGCTGTCTCTCTCCGCGGGAGTCTCTCCCGGTGCGGGGTGCCGGCTGCCGCCGCTGCTGCGGGCGCAGTGGTCCCGCTCATACTCCTCCTGTGCCTTCTGCATCTTCCGCTTCTTCATCTTCCTCTTGTGGATGTGGAAGGTGGTGAGGGAGAGGAGGATGAGGCAGAAGATGAGGGTGACGAGGACGATGAGAACGAGGGTGGAGGAGAAGGACTGAAAGAGCTGACCCACTTGCGTGATGCAGGTGCTGCTGGCGTTCGAGGTGGCAGACGTCCTGTTCAGGAGACAAGGCGGCAGCGACAGCCTCAACTCCTTGGAGAGCTTGGCACTCATTGAGGAGGCTTCGGAAGACGAGGATCTTCCTCCCCTCTCTCAAGACGCCGGAATTTCAGTGGGGGCCGGGCTCGCTCCCGGCAATGCCCGCGGTGCCGCCGGCACAGCCTCTCGCTGGCTCTAAACGCGACCGAGCAGCCTGCAAAGGGAGCGGGACCGTCAGCGCTGCCCACCCTGCCCGCCGCCCCGCCCCGGGCACCGCTGCGGCAGCCCCCGGTCCGCGCCCCGCCACGGGGCCAACGCCAGCGGCCGGAGCCGAGCCGCGGGACGGGGCGGGGGCGGCAGAGGCGGACACCCCGCGCACCGCTCGCCCCAACTAGTTGCCGCGGCGGCGGCGAGGGAGGGAACCCGCCGCTGACCGGAGCCCGCAGGCCGAGCCGACCGCCCCCGGGAGCCCATTACCTGCGGCGGCAGAGGCGGCGAAGGAGCGCCCGGGCGCCGCGGGCGCTGGGGGGCTGCGGCAGCGCGGAGTGAGGGCGCGGAGCGGAGCCGCTTCGGGAGCGCCGCCCGCAGCCTGGCACCGCCCCGCCCCTGACGTCACGCCGGGCCGCCGCCTCCCCTCGCACGGCCGCGGGCACGGGGCCTCGGGTGCCGATCGGGTGCCGGCCCGCGTCGCGGGGAAGCGTTGTTTCCTGGCGGCGGGCTGCTGTCCCGTACCTCCCCCTTCGGGCTGCGCCCGCCGCGGCGCGCCGCCTCCTACAGGTTGCCTCCGGGCGCCCGGCCCTCCCGCCGTGCCGCCCCCGGGGCCGGCGTGTGCTGGCTAGCCGGGACCGCGGTGTCTGCAGAACTGGCCGGGGCTCCGTGCGCGGCGGGGTGTTCGTGTGCAGCGGGGTTGTGGGCTGCCCGTGAGCGTGCTTCAGCTAAAAATCGAGTGGTTCCCAAATAGAAGAGACCTTGGGATTTGAAGAATGCTTTCACTAGACAGACGGGGCCAAAAAAGATATTTACCTTCAGGATGAAGCTCCTCAGTTTTCCAGAAGGAACAGTGGTGGGGTTGTGGATGACTGCTGGGGCCCAGTGGATGCCTTCAGTCCCATGCTTGTGCGCTGACAGGGAGCCAGGAGCAGGGTCACTATGGCACCAGTGGCAGAAACAGGACTTCAAGGAAGAATAGAGGCTGTCTTGCTGGCCTGGAGCCACGTGAGAAGCCTGGGGGAAAGCCTGTACCAGGAGGAAAAGGATCTGGGGTGTTAGCTGATAGCAGGCTGAATGTGAGCCAGCACTATGCCCACGTGGCCAAGGAGGCCAATGTCAGGGGTGGTAGAATGGTTTGGGTTGGAACGGACCTCAAAATAATCTTCATCTAGTTCCAGCCTTCTGCTGTGGGCTTATGTCAGCAATAGTGCAGCCAGCAGGAGCAGGAAGGGGCTCGTCCCTTTGTACAGGGTGCTGGTGAGGCCACACCTCGAGTACTGAGTTCAGTTTTGGGCTCTCACAAGAAAGACATTGAGGCCCTGGAGTGTGTCCAGAGAAAAGCAATAAAGCTGTGAGGGATCTGGAGCATAAGTCTGGTGGGGAGTGGTTGAGGGAACTGGGATTGTTTGGTCTGAAGAGGAGGCTCAGGGGAGACCTCATTGCATTCTACAACTTCCTGAAAGGAGATTGTGGTGAAGCTGCAGTCAGCCTCTTCTCCCCCATAACAGCAAGAAGATGAGAGGGAATGACCTCACATTGCACCAGAGGAGGTTCAGGTTGACCATTAGAATCATGGAATCATAGAATCATAGAATGGCCTGGGTTGAAAAGGACCTCAATGATCATCTAGTTTCAACCTCTCTGCTATGTGCAGGGTTGCCAGCCACTAGACCAGGCTGCCCAGAGCCACATCCAGCCTGGCCTTGAATGCTTCCAGAGATGGGGCATCTACAACCTCCTTGGGCAACCTGTTCCAGTGTGTCACTACCCTCAAGGTGAAAAGCTTCCTCCTAATATCTGACCTAAATCTCTCCTGTCTTAGTTTAAAACCATTCCCCCTTTTCCTATCACTATCCACCCTTGTAAACAGTTGTTCTCTCTCCTGTATTCTTCTCTTCAAGTACTGGAAGGCCACAATGAGGTCTCCCCAGAGTCTTCTCTTTTCCAAGCTAAACAAGCCAAGTTCCCTCAGCCTTTCCTCATAGCAGAGGTGCTCCAGCCCTCTGATCATCTTAGTGGCCCTCCTCTGGACCCGTTCCAGAGCTCTGCATCTTTCTTGTACTGGGGTTCCCAGACCTGAATGCAGTCCTCATATGGGGCTTCACTAGAACTGAGTAGAGGGGCACAATCACCTCCCTTTCCCTGCTGGCCACAGGAAAACATTAGGAAGAACTTCTCAGAGTACTGAGACATTGAAACAGGCTGCCCAGGGAGGTGGTGGAGTCACTGACCCTGTAGGGGTTCAGGAACATGGAGAAGTGGAATTAGGGGACATGATTAGTGGGCAATCTGGGGATGGGTTTATAACTGGACAGGTGATCTTAGTGGTCTTTCCAACCTTAATTATTCCCTTTGCAAAGGAGCTACAACTCAGGGTTTCCTCTAAACCAACCCAAATGCCTGTTCCCATTGCTCCTTCCCTCTCCAGGTAATACCTAATACCTAATGCTGCAGGAGCTGCAGAGAGGAGGCTCACCAGAGAGCTGAAAGACAGCTGCTGCCCAGTGCTTGCCCACCCTCCTTCCATGCAGCCCCCCAGTGCCGCTCAGTGCCTCCCTGCAGTGCCCATATCACACCTCCCTGTGTGTTTTCAGCAAGGCATCTCTTGCACACATGCACATCCCCTCTTGCATACCCATGTCCTCACTGATGTTATGGCTTCCATAACCCTTTCTTCCTCCATGCCTTTCTTCAATGTGCACATCTGCATTAATGCACACTCTGCTCACTGCCTTAGAAGAGATAACCTCCAAGGTTACTTGCAGCTAAGGCTGCAAAACAGCACTCTGGACATTGCCTCTTTCCTCTGACTATTCCCAGAGCAGTGTTTGGGTGAGAGGCTACAAACAGGATGGAGGGCATGGAAGGTGCCCACCATGCCCTGTGGTCCTGCAGAAATCCTCAGATCTCCCTCATGAGCAGTGAAGTGTGACAGACACCAGCAGGTCTGTGCTCAGGCAGAATTGGAGAGGTTGTAGAAGCAGGTCTGAGATGTTAGCTCATTGATTAGAAAACCTTTTTTTTTTTTTTTCAAGGGGAAAAAAGAAAAAAAAAACACCACCACAAAACCCATAAGATTGGCCTTTTGTACAGAAAACAGCATTGGCAGCTTTAGTATATTTAAAAAGATATCCTACGATGTTAGTTCTGTGCATGGCAGTAATAGCAAAAAATGTGGATTGAGTAAACTTTAGAGGCAAAGAATTTTCTAATTCAGATACAGTTGTTATAAATTAACAGATAGGACTAGGTTCACGTAGCACTAACATATTTTCTCCTCAGATCTTAACTGTTTCAAAAGGTAACACAGGAGTATTGAAAATTTAGTTGCTTTAAACACATTTAAAATCCTTTGTGCATTCCTTTCACCTGATGTCTGTCCCCACAAACATCCCCTGATGTTTGCCCCCCATGTCACACAGTGTCTCCTCCTTTCTCACCCTCCCCAGTCCTTGCTAATCTCCTTCCACCCAGACTGCTTGGGCTGGAATCCCTGGGATGAGTCAAAGATATTTTATTTACTTTCAGAGTGGTATTCTCATTATTCCCGGCTATCAGGATTAGCAAACAGTGAAAACATGAGTGTCTTGTGTATTTGTGTGATAATTATTCTAACTAGTAGGATTTTGCTAAGCTGCAAGGAGTGAAAAATGGGCCTGGGGACTGGAGAAGGGCAGAAAGCATCAAAATCTCCACAGATTTTTAACTCTCTCCCTGCTGTCTCAGCCTCTCTGCTGTCTGTGTTCATTTACAGCTTTGAAATATCTCTGCTTCACCTAAAAGAATCAAAGAGCAGAGGTAGTTCTTGCCCTAGCAAGAATTTTTAATGAGACAGTCAGAAGAGGAGCACTGTAGAGAAGAAGGGAAATCACAGTACAGTAGTTGGCATTCTGGCTCATGCTAGCTGCAGCCAGCCAAAGTTTATGGATTCAAATATCCACAATCAGAATACAGTGAGCCTCAGAAATCAGGAGAAAAATCTGTCTTCTTGTGGACCAGTAGCTGTGTTATTATTCCATTGTTCTGATTCACTGACATGATTGGATTTGAACATAAACATGCAAGAAAAGAATGCATCTCCAGTACATACTGCAGTAATGAAAAACCTTTTATTTAGCACAAAAATAAAGGATGTGAGTGCCCTCTTTCAAAAATATATTGCTCATTGCCTGTAGAGAATTTCCCCATAGTATACATACAGTATGACATTCAGAGAGGTTGGGTTTCTTGCTCTAGTAGCATTGGTCACTGTGTGATAGATGGCATTATACGTAGGGGAATTTTTATATTTCACAATGATGTTTGGATTCATTACAACCTTGGTAGCTCCCAGTTCTCTGGTTTCACGTTGGTAAGAAGCAGGCAGCGCATGTATTTGCAAATCTCCCAAACAGACTTTTTTATGTGGCTATGTTTTAATCTGTTAATTAGGGAAGTTGTTCCTTCAGATGCTAATTCCTCATGCCCTGTCTTACACGGTCCTTTTTTTTTGCCAAGGCAGCAGCCTAATGAGATAGCCTGTAAGAGCAAAGGCTGCTCATGTAAGTAAAGGTTTGATGGTTCAGGCCCTTGGCTATTAATGACCCTTCTTGAAACAAATTTATTGCCCTTACTCTTTAAATTTAGCAGTTGATTACGTATAGAATAATGCATGATCCCTTTTGCACCGAGATTGATGTCATCATTTGCCAGACAGACACGGCACCTGATGAATGCCAATGACCCGCATGCTAATTTGCAGTCTCCCCTTGGGATAAAGGCCATCTGTGCACAAGTCCTTCGGTCCCTCCATACTCACTGCTATAGGTGGAGCCCAGTGATTTAAATGTGGTCTGAAAGCCTCGTGCTGTGAATAGGATTTTAAAAAGCAAGAGAGACCAGATTTGTATTTCATATGCACTGGTAGGTCAACTAATATCCTGCACATTGTAAGTGTTTATCTTGCAAAAATAATATAAGTGTCTTTGAGAGATATTTGATTGAAAATAGCTTAACTGTGACTGACGATGCTGCTTGCCAGGTTACCCAGCTCCAAAGCAGGGACTCTATTTCATTCTCCTACGCCTTCCAGAAGAGCACAGTCTGGGTGATGTGGGCTCACAATTACTTCGTTCTTAAGACATGATTCTTTATGAATCTTCAGGACAATTTTACATATTCAATTTCTATCTGTACTTCAGAAAAATACTCTCTTCTTGTTCTGAAGAAGAAATTATCACATGGGACAATGAGGGGGAAAAAAGGATGCATGTGATGCTGGCTAGAGAAGGTTACTAAGCTATTGCTGAATTCAGCAGGGTGCTAAATGGCAGCAGGAGTAGAAAATGGGTTCAGGCAACGCTAGTTGCCTGAAATAGACAACATTGGCTTGTCTGATAGAGTATG